TATTGAATCCCTGCCCATGGGAGCGTCGCAGGTACGTCTTCAGCGGTGTTCCGTGCAGGTAACGTTATCCTGTAGAACAAGGGTGAGAAGAAAAACGGACCGAGCAAACTGCCAACAAAATTGAACAGGACTATGTTATTGTATAAATATAAAATTTCTGGTAAAGTTGTGCTGGCTGAAAACAATGGAGTGACCGTATATGTTGTACATCATATCCGTATCCGTAGTTTTCGTTGTAGCACGATACCTGATATTTGCTGAATGTGAGAGGAAGATGCTGGCCGAAGTGGCCTAGCGTATGCAAAAGTTGTCCTGTTTGGGAACCGTGAGTATCAGGCGTTGTTAACCGGTAAATGAGTTGAGGGAATTAGAAGAACATAGTGAGTGGTTTAATAAGCGCGTAATATATAAGTTCAGCGATCTGTTGACAGTGCTAGGGTTTATCGTTCGAACATGTACGAGAGCCAGGGAAGTTATTACGCCGGGTTTGAGACCAAGAAAATAATAACGCAACATGTTCAGCAATCGGATGCTAGACAGCTGGGTGAAGGGGTGAGATGGAGTGTCAAATTTGTGATGAGAATGGGATTTATATACTACAACTGTAGCGACAGTGCGGTTGCAAAGCTAGTCCTAAAGGGACCTCGAATAGCGAAAAAAGATAGGGACTTCTACAGTGCGGTAAACAGGTCAAATATAGGACAGGATAGGGTGATACTGGGAGTCGGGTTAGTTATGTAGAAGAAACTGCTTGCTGACAGGCCTTCAACTTCAATAATAGGAGAGAGAAGGGCTTGAATACTATAGGTTTATTTAGAAAATGGTTGTAGGGCCAGCGCTGAAGGGGACCTAGAATATCAGTATTGTGAGCAGTAGCCGCAAAAGATGCTACCTGTGCCACTCTGATGTGGACATCCACGGTGGAACGTTGAAGTCAAATAGACTGCTAGTTATGACTCACTAATTGGTGAGTTGCTGGCAACCTGATTAGTTAGTATACAGGAGCGGCACGCTTTATTAGGCTCAGCATAGTCTGATAGGTGTACAGTGTGGAATACCACAGAGAAAACAGACAGCAAGACTTGCGACATCTGTAGAGAGAAAACGACAGTGGTGCCGGCTCCGGAATCGACCAAGGGTAAGGAAATAATACGGACAGCACCGCCAATTGCCAAGTTTTCATTCCAAGATATGCGATGACGAGAGGAGATTCAGAAAAGTATACAATAAAGTACGGTTAAACATAGGAGTGGATTAGACGCAAAGTAGTTCAAGTGCTCAGCATCTGGCGCTGGTGGAATAAGAATGCCATCAGTCCAATAGACGGGGATGTGAAAATTAAAATTGTGTGGCAGCCGATGAGCTGAGGCTAGTGATACCTATACCACCATTGAATTGTTGCGATATGAACGAAGATAGACGCCAAACAAGAGAGGAAGACGTTAATGTGAGCTGAGATGCATGATAGTGGAGCCGAGAGCCAAACTCAATCAGAGACCGGAAATTTGGATTTCCGTAGGCGTTACCAAGCATAGAGATAATGATTCAGACAAAGAAGAGTATCATAAGGTTGTAACTTATACCAATGAGAACTTGAGTCGATGGCAGCCGGTGCTCATAATAAGAGAGGCCTAGGTTTAAGACTATAGGCATTTGGAGCCTGAGAGGACTGACCTGTCCAAAATGTTTTGGAACGAGAGGCACAGAAAGAAAAAATAACCAAAAGAGACCTGGGATGTTGCGCTGACGCTAGTGATACCTATACCGCCATTGAACTGTTGCGATATAGACCAAAAGAGAGGCAAAACAAGAGAGGGGACGTAATTGTGCGCTGAGAAGCATGAGAATGGAGCCGAGAGGCAAAACTCAACCAGGGACCTGAAATTTCAAGTTCCGTAGAAGGACCAAGCATGCAGATAATGTATCAGAAGGAGGCGAGCACATAAGGCAGTTAATTACACGCGATTATTGGCTCCTACTAAACGGATACTTCGTACTTTACTTAGTTGTACGACGATCTTGTCTCTACGCAGGCGTTAGCAATCCACCCATACGGCTAATGATTCTGTAGGATATTCAAAAGACAGTTTCAGCATAATTATTGTTGCACAGTGTACATGCTTTTGTCTCAAGCCCAAATGTTTTAACCTAAGACATTAACAATGTTCAACTCCATGCCTGTTCTTGCGGTCTTCTCTCGGTTGTCCCTCACTTTCCCTTTTCTTTGAGGTCCGGGACTTCTTGGAGATCTGGGATTGGACTGCGGAACAGTTTTGGCCCAAGACGGACGTAACAACTCACAAGAACTTACATGGAGCATGGTAGAACTCCGAAAGGACCGAACTACAATCCCCGTAACCCTTGTCCAGTATGGAGAACTGGGCATATCCTCATACTCCCATACATTATACATCTGAAAAATCTGGACAGCGGAAAAGTTGAACTTTTGCTCACCTGGACATACAACAAGATGAATAATCATGATGTCCCTCTTTTCCACCGACCTCAAAATCATGGCGACCCTGATCAAATTACCTGTCCAACTAACAGAGAAAATTAGAAGCCATTACTCTGCAAAAAACCGAAGGTAAAACCAGTCGTCAAGCGGCTTTGCCAGTTCAACATTAATGTTCAAAATGCTTTGCGGCAGTGTTGCAGGACGTGGTGGGTTTTCGCCTGGCGAGCGTTCTCCCTACCAAAAGCCACAAATGTCTGTTCAACAACACTGCGACGTGGCGGATGTGACTCGCCACTGAATAAAGTCACTGCCCGCAACTACATCCTAGCAAGTCGACTAGACTCACATATCAAATCTTCCCGACACCGTTTCAACTACACACGATTGAACCCGATGTATCGTCGTGATCCGCATCTGTTTTTAAACCTTGATCATGCCTGCGTTGGTGTGTCTCTATGAAACTGAGAATAAATTATTTATTTATTTATTTATTTAATTAGTCGATGGCAGCGGATCCTCAAAAGAAGAGAGGCCTTGGTTTGATGCCTATGGGCATTTGGGGCCTGAGAGGCCGGACTAGTCGAAAAGATTTAAGAATGAGTACCACAGTAGCAAAGAGGATCAATGAAGGCCTAGGATGTTGCGCTGACGCTAGTGATACCTATACCGCCATTGAACCGATGCAATATGGACCAAAAGAGATGCCCAACAAGAGAAGGGAAGTAATTGTGAGCTGAGATTCATGATGGTGGAGCCGAGAGGCAAAAGTCAATCAGAGACCTAAAGTTGCAGTTTTGCAGGGGACCAAGCATACAGGTAATGTACCAGACGGAGGCCAGTATCATGAGGCTGTTTCTTATGCCAATGGGAACTTTACTCGATGCTCAAAGGAAGAGAAGCCTTGGTTTGAGACCTATTGGCATTTGGAGCCTGAGGCCGGTGTGGTCCAGGTGGTTTAAGAGTGCGAGGCGCAGTAGGAAAGCGAATCAAATGTGGCCTAGTATGTTGTGCTTACCCTATGAGAACCTAAACCACCATTGAACCGATGCGATATGGACCAGAAGAGAGGCAAAACAAGAGAGTGGGACGTAATTGTGAGCTGAGATTCATGAGAGTGGATCTGAGAGGCAAGACTCAACCAGGGACCTGAAATTTCAATTTCGGTAGAAGGACAAAGCATGCAGATAATGTATCAGACGGAGGCGAGTACATGAGGCAGTTAATTATACCAATGAGAACTTTTGCCGATGGCAGCCGATGCTCAAATGAGAAAGGCCTTGTTTTGAGACCGATGGGTATTAGGAGCCTGAGCGGCCGGACAAGTCCAGTAGGTTTAATAATGCGTGTCACTGTAGCAAAGAGAATCAAACGGGGGCTAGTAAGTTGCGCTGGCGTTAGAAGTACCTATACCGTCATTGAACCGATGCGATATGGACCAAAAGAGAGGCCAAACAAGAGAGGAAGACGATACTTGTGAGCTGAGAAGAATGATAGTGGAGCCGAGAGGCAAAATTAATCAAGGACATGAGCTTTCGATTTCGTTAGGGTGACCAAGCGTACAGATAATGAATCGGACGGAGACGAGAATCATGAGGCCGTTACTTATACGATTGAGAACCTTAATCGATGGCAGCTGATCCTCAGAGGAAGAGAGGCCTTGGCTTGAGACCTATAGGCATTTGCAGCCTGAGAGGCCGGAGTAGTCCAATAGGTTTAACGATGAGTGCCATAGTAGCAAAGAGAAGCAAACGGGTGTTAATAAGTTGTGCTGACGTTAGAGGCACCTATACCGCCATTGAGCCAATGCGATATAGAACAAAAGGGAGGCCAAACAAGAGAGGGGAAGTAATATAAGCTAAGTGCATGATAGTGGAGCCGAGAAGCAAAACTCCATCAGAGACCTGAAATTGCAATTTGCGGGGGTCCAAGCATACGTATAATGTATCAGACTGAGGCAAGTACATGAAGCTGTTACTCGTGTCAGTGAGAATTCAATCGATTCTCAAAGTAACAGAAGCCTTGGTTTGAGACCCATAGGCATTTGGAGCCTGAGAGGCCGGACTAGTCTAAAAGGTTTAGGAGCGAGAGTCACAGTAGCAAGAACATATAGCGACGTCTGGGATAAGCCATACGGATAATGAATCGGACGGAGACGAGAATCATGAGGCCGTTACTTATACCATTGAGAACCTTTATCGATGGCAGCCGATCATCAAAAGAAGCGATGCTTTGGCTTGAGTCCTATAGGCATTTGGAGCCTGAGAGGCCGGACTGGTCCAAAAAGTTTAAGAATGAGTGCCACAGTAGGAAAGATAATCAAACGAGGCCTAGGTAGTTGTGCTGACGTTATTGGTACCTACACCACCATTGAACGAATGCGACATGGACCAAAAGCGAGGCCAAACAACAGATGGAGACCATACTTGTGAGCTGAGAAGAATGGTAGTGGTGCCGAAAGTCAAAATTAATCATCTTGTCTCTCTAGGAGTGCCTCGTTCCGTCGGGACTAAATTCATTTATTTGCTTTATTTAAGTTGCGTAGATGTCACGAACTCTACGAAAGCCTGCACGCGTGGAAACCTACTTGATCAACTTTCGAAGCCAAAAGTATTGTCACAAAATACCTACAACTGGTTCACTTTTAAGCTAGTTCCATACACATGAGATTACATGACGATTCCGTTTCGTCAGTGTTACTTTTTGAAAAGTCAGCACGGCAAAGCGCTACGTGCGGTAAGAGCCGATGTTTAGCTGGTACTGATACCGGACTTACTGGATGTTGGGAGTATAAATATAAGATAACAAATAAATAGAAAAATAAGTCAAAGTTTCCTGTGCACAAAAGTAGCACAAATATAACACAAACAGAACGCAGGGTACCTAAACATCTGAAAAGGTTGCTATTCTATTAGTCGAAAACAAACTACTTTTAACGATATTTAGCCTTTGGTCAAGGACATTAACATAATGTATGGTCTACCTAAGGTTTAAGAAGGTGGCTCGCTAAAAGCATTAATATCCATATATAACGCATGGTATCAGCGGTTAGCACGATGGTTTGTTGGACTATTGGCAAAAGGTTGAAAGATGCTAACCAACTCTACACCAGTTCATTAACCAGCTACATGAAAGTAACCTCGATTAAAGGGCGCTTCGTCCCATCAGTGTGCAGTTTCTGTTCAACTACTTGCCTTTGAGAGAAATGGTGGACGTTGGACAGGACTTCGCTAAATGTGTGAATGCGCGGCTGCCGTTTTCTTTGGGATACCTCAACGAATTATCGCTACTGCGCACGACAACCGTGTTTTTGAATAAGGAAGTGCATACCAACAGGTAGATGGGTGGATATCAGAGTCTATTTAGTTTTGTGCCAGCGCATATATTCATGAACATTTTTTTATGTCACGCTACGACCCAGACCACCATATCACATTAATGCATAAATAATAATTCTCGAAGAAACATTACACACAACAAGCGGTACGCTGACAAAACCTTCGTACCCGCACCACCACCGAATTCTTCGCCGTCCCTCCTAACTGTTGTGAAGTTTGCACACAAAATGCTTGCCTTAACTTTGAGGTTGAGAATAATAACCCCCTGCTTTTTGCATGTACGACTGCCGAGGGGTGATCGCACGATATGGCGTACAGCTCACCGAAAGGTTACGTGAACCGTGTGGTATGAGTAATTTCGAACTTTTACACCAGTAAATCAACGCGCTCGGTCAACACGTTATTCCTCAGGCTGTCTACTACAGAATGCGTCGGAGATAGCTGCGAACCGCCACGCAAAATCTACCAGCATATGGTTGCTTATAAGCGGTTATAAGCTAGTGTATCCACAACGCAAACGATGAACTGCTGGTCTTTCTTCCTAAACCAAAATTGCCTGTTTATCTACAACTACCTTCCATAGGCGTCCTTATTGCTGGGCAGTAATAATAACGTACGGCAGTGCCCGTATGACTTGCAGTTAATGCTGCTGAATTACGCCCCTCTGAGCTACCAGGGAGCTACAAATACACCAGGTGTGCCTATGGGAACAGTCTTTGCCCTAGCGCACTGTACTTACTCATGTATTTTAACCGCGGTGGTGGCTACCGTGGGTAGAACAGACGGTTGCTTCGGTAAGCGGTTTAAGGAGCACATTCCAAAGCGTGCAGTTAGCAAAACATCGTGTGTATAAACAGGAGGTGCCTCCTCGATTCCCATTTACATTATTGAAACGCGTCATAATCCCGACTATAACCAAAAACTTACTTGCATCTATGCTATCGCAAAGGCCAGCACCTTTAATGGGGTACAGGCAGTGCCCAAATACAAGCATCGTCCAACACCGTGCATCCAGAAACAACCGATCCTTAGGTCAAAACTCCTTTGGTATTGGTGATACGTCCCCTATATTATAACCACCTCGTTTGGTCGCCCTGGTAGCTCAGAACGCCCTTACTTACGCTTTCCTCATATTGATGTTCTCCTGCATCCGTAAGTTACCGTCCTGTTCCCTGTGCCTCATGGATTTCGTTACCGCAGGTGCGGCACAAGTTGCTGCTGCCCGCTGAACTTAAAATGTGAAACTTTCTCTCCTATTACGACCGCAAACATTATCCGGCAAGGTGCTGCGGCGCATCTTTATTCGTCAGCCCTAGGCCAATTGCCCTCGCTGGTATTTCTAATTTTCAGTACAACATTAATACCTGACCTATATTTCGCGTAACTTAAAGTTAACTCCCGTGTCTGGCAATGTAATTTAATTACTTGGACACCTGGCGTCCATTGCATGAGTAAGTCACCAAGCATTACAGTTCCTCTATGTTTCCACTGAAAACTTGCTTTTCAGCTGCAGCCCTCGTCAAACTACGCCCGTCAAGTTAGACTGTTCGCTGGCTTCTTGACCGCGTTAAGTACACGTAGGTCTAAGCTTTTCACAGTATCCTGGTCTCGCACTCTTTTAACCTTAGCTCCAGGGGTAATGTATTTTCTCCATCCCATATTTGCAACAGGGTTGTCATTCAGAACCTCCACGCCTCCGCTCGCTTATTTAATTTTCAATCACCAATTTTAAGGACCATGTATTTTAGCCCACTGTACATACTAATAAATAATTAAATAAATAATTGCTTAATACATGGCGGTGCGAGACGCACTTTGAAATAAATAAATAAATAAATTTTACTCTCGACAATGCGAGGCACACCTTTACAGGCATGATCATATTTAGCTAACATAGTGTGATCAAATTGTACAAAAGGACATGTTTGGCATAACAGTGTATGTAAGTATATGGGTGTATATACGTATGTACTTGTGTAGAAATTTAGCTTGTATTCTTGAATGCGCCGCAGAATTATTGACTGTTTTTTATCGTCAGGAATGTGAGAATAAGCGATTGATTTTCGTGGGTTGGATAGCATTTTCCGAATATCCACGGGCCAGTGACTTTAGTTTGTGGCGAGTCACATCCGCCACGTCGCAGTGTTGTTAAGCAGACATTTGTGGCCTTTTATAGGGAGAACGCTTGCCAGGCGAAAACCCACCACGTCCTGGAACACTGCCGCCGAACTCTTTGCTGGTACAGGTTAAACCCGAACCACCCAGCTGGCACCACGAGGAGGTTGATCGGAGTAACATCAGTACCGGTGCAGAAACGTAGCAAGTAAAGCAGTACACACTGGCAAAGTATAGGTATGTATGCGTAGTATGTACGTCGGTTCATGAGCAAGTCATCATGCTGAGTGAATTAGTTACTAGCACTGTTAAGTTGTGCGTTTGTTTGGCTGATTCGCTTTTATGCGAATGAATAAGATAAAAGCTGAAGTGGCTGACGTTCGCGAAACAAGTAACATACTCCGACAAGGCAAAAGGACATGGCTTAAGTTAATGGCGAGTCATATCCGCCACGTTTCAACCTGGTTAAGATGACATACGTGGCATACTACATAGTGCGCGCTTGCCAGGCGGAAACCCATGAAGTCCTGGAACACTGCCGCGGATCTATTAGCTGGAACGGGATTAACCCGTACCACCCAGCTGGTGCCACGGGGAGGTTGTTCGGCTAGCCAGCCTTTGAAAAATAGGCTTGTTCCCCTTGCCTGTTGAAGGCGCTTAGCCTGCGGAATGCTAACCGTCATCGTACCGTGATATTTCTACTCTTTTCGGTACAACGGCGTATGCATGCTACTACTCATTAACCATTATTAAATACCTGCGCTAGTGTCGTTAAGCTGGGGTCGCATGTGCTTCACCAACGGTCCCTTCGCCGTAAACGGTCAATGAAGTTATGCTTTCTACTGTCCGCAACAGCGACATTGCCGTTATTTTAAATGTGCTAAATTATACCATATATTGATTCCCTTCTTATATTCGCGGCATTTGATAACGAACCGAAAAATACTGGCGCTCTCCGCAGTCCGTAACTAAGTTGCTGAGGAAAGCGTATATTTAGGTCACCTTTCATTTACGGCAGCGGGAAATTCTTCTACGCCGCCAACTGTAAGTTGCTCGTTGTAGGTTAGCGAACAGCATACAGTCAAACTTAATTGCTCTACCGCAGACTTTCGCTTTACTGCAACGAATATGAGCAATTTTATGCCGTACTTGAACAAGATACCTGTTATACTGCATAAACCAGAAGATGCTGGGCGTTATTATTTCGTGCGTGTTTCTATAGTTAATGCAGGCTACTTAATAAATGTGGCAGCTTGCCAATAACTTAGAAGCACGAAATGAAGGAAAACAGGCACGCAACTAACTCTCGTAAGTAAGGTTGCCCAAACCTGTGCATAGGTGTTCCATCCTAACTCAGAATACTGTACAAAATTGACGGTGGAATACAGTGTTTTGCTGTAGATTTACAAGCGTAAACCGATTTTCAATTTTTTAAAGTTTGAACGACATCCTTGTGCATTGGCCGGAGCAACCTTCACCGTATGCATCCAAGCTTAGTAACTACCGCCGGAGCAAGTATAATAGGAGGCGCACTCGGGATTCGAACCACACCGCATGACTGACAGCCCGGCAAGAAACTACTAGACTATATTACCTTTTGTCTGTCCATTCGTGTGTTGGCTAATTAACCGTCGTCAAGGCAACGTCCTAGCAAAATTTGCAACAACCTGTGGGTTCCTTACACATGTTAATTTTGTAATGGTCAATAAAGCTGTATTACATGACCTCTTCATTTATTTGGCCGGTTTTGCATAATTTGATCGTTCCAGGAGGCAGAAGAATTGTTAACTAACTTTATCGGCTCTGTTGGTCAACCTTCTTCTCGACGAGTATTTGGTTTACCTTTATTCTATTGTTACACTAAAATTTGACTTGGTGGTTCTTTGATTCTGTTAGCACCTTTAGTGGTTGCTCAGGATCACCCATTATTAAAGCACATGAAAACGTTTTTAAGAGTGAGTTACTATCTTATTGCGCGACACTATTTTTAGAAATGTTTTATAGTTTTACTCACACCCACTAGCTCATTCCTAAACCTAGTATCTTACCCTCAAACTCCAACGTGCTTTTTTCTCTTCCATGAGCAGCTATAACTCAAGAATCTGCAAGTGAAATAACTACCGACAACTGATCGGCTGGATGGTACTATCCCGCCAC